AAAGTTATCAAAACAAATTCTATGGGACTGAGAAATATTATTTTCTACTTTTTAGTCCATTTATAAAAGCGTTGTATATTAAAAAGTTTTTTTTTTATATTATTTATTTTCTACTTTTTTGTCTTGTCTGTATAAAATTTTGCGATAGGTGCACACACATGCATTTACATATGTATGTACATACAAACGAGCACCAATTAATTTTATTTAAAGAAATGGCGTGTCGTCTATTTCCGCTGTAGCGAACGTAGTACATAGGGCGACATCTAGATGTCATCTACCTCGCCCTATTCACTACAGATGTCGCCCTATGCACTATGCCTTTTTATAGGAACTTTTCAAAGCAAAGGTTTTATGGTGTCGGACACACAACATTGAAAGTTTCTGGATCCACAACATTGAAAGTTTCTGGAGCCACAACATTGCAAGTTGATAAAAGCGTTGTAACGTTGTAAAATAGTCAAAACTTGCTGAAATGTCGCGTACCACTTTATATTTGGGTCACTGTATTTTTTGCAAAGAAGGACGTAGCGGGAATTTGCTTCATAAAATTTTTGTTAAGAATGTCTAAAATTTTAGTTTGAAGTTTGGTTCGCAACGCTTAGAAACTAACGAAATAAAGCAAAACTCTTTGGGAAAACAATTAATGTGAATAATTGTTTAAGTAGTTTTTTTTTTTAACTTAATAAGCTACCGGCTTTTTCGATTCAAATGAATGGCGTTTTCTTTTCTCGAAATAATGTTGCCCATTTTGCCTCAGCCCTTTCACAGCTTTACGTGTTCATTTCTCAAAATATTGCCCTCCGACTAAGCAAAGGTCCAATACTTTCTAATGCAAATGTTACAATATAAGAAGGCAAACTTTATCAATAGAAAAGAAACCACCATAAGTTTGTAATTGATCTTTTTAAGTATGTAATACAAACATGACTTCTGATGTAAAGCTTAGCTATGTATAACGACAGCTTCCTTTGTCAAACAAATATATTTTGTAATGAATTTACCAGTCTCTGCTTTTAAGGTTTATTTAATGAATTTACTAGTCTTTCTACTTCTGATTTATTTAAATAAAACATGTGAGTTTTAGTTGAAACATTTTAGCCGTTTTTAGTCGCTTTTTGTTGGCCAATTTAGCCGGTCGGCCCAAAAGGCTCTGGCAACACTGTATCGGACACCAAATTTGGTGTCACACTTTTGATTGGCTTCAAATTTTTTTTATGAAATAAGCTAACACGTGTTCGAGGAGTTTTTTAAAAAGTAAAATTTTATTGCGGATTCCAATAGATATAATACTTGTACAGTAAGATTTTTACAGTTACAGTTACAGTTAGCAAAACGCAGATTTTATTGCTGATTTCGGCAGCATATCGCTTCATTAACAACATTTGTTCCAAAAATTGTTCAGTCCATATCGATATTCTGGCGAAATCCACAATTAAGTCAAAATTTTTGTACTTTGGTTTTAATATAGCTACGCCCATTTCTAGAATATTCTTTGATTGAAAAAGTTGTGGAACAAATGTTGTTAATGAAGCGATATTCTGCCGAAAGATCAGCGAGAGACAAATTATCATCCTTTAAAAGAAAATTAAATTTCTAGATTACCTGTGTGGAAAAGAAAAACATTAAATTACCAAATGAAATGTGAAATATCATAACTGGGCACTTGGTAAATCTCCTGAAATCTTTGTCACATTATTTTACCAAGCATTCATAGATCTTCTGAGATTTCACTCTGCGTCTCTGAATGAGTTAAGGATTATTGCGTTTAAAAAGTAAAATATAAAAATGCGAATATCTCGAAAAAAGGATCAGCTACGATTTTGATCTCGATGGATTTTAAACCTACAAATGATGTAAAGAAAAGGCTGTGAAAGCCGATTTTAGACACACTTTTATAAAACTTAAGACTGGTTCGAGACCGTGCATAGTCATGAAGAAAAACTGGGGCTATTGGAAAAAGGGGCGTGGCACCTCTCATACAAACCGGAATTTTTATACTGCATATTTCTGGACGTGTTCATGGTAGTGTACTCGAAGATGGTATGGAGATATATGCAATCAATCCCATACTCTTAGAGAAAATTGGGGTCATTTTAAAAGGGGCGTAGTGCCTTTCAAACGCACTGAAGCTATTACGTATCTTTGTAGGCATATACGGTTTTGCTAGGTTATTTAAGATGGCAATGGAAATATGCCTTCTGACAATCACTAAGCCGTAATATTAGAAGATAAATGCGTCACTGAAAATCATGAACGTAAACTGTTGGAGAAAATGTTGGACCGAAATGTTTCAATACAAAAAAATTTATTTTAGGCGGGACGAAGTTCGCCGGGTCTGCTAGAATAAGTATATTTCTTTTTATTTCTATAATTTGTTTTGTCACTCAGGCACTCATAAGCGTGTTATCCGCCTAGAAAACAAAAGAATAGAAAACAATAAGAATAGAAAACAATAGAGTAGATTAAACAAAGCAAAATTTGGGATGCGTAGGTACTTTCTATTTTTAGCGGGATATTCCCGTGATTGGATACAAAGATACGGAACGGTCAATGTGACCTTGGACTTTTAGATATACTTTGATCATCAATATTTCTATGCAAATATGTGAATGCGTCTTATTACTTATTTAGGTTTAAATTGTATGTGTATAATATATCTGCATAACACAATGGAAGTGTATGCGCAGTAGTAGTTTAGTTAGGTATTTAGATTTAAGAAATTTTGTAAAAGTAAAGATCGGTGCTATTTGGCATATGGTTCTCTAAGGGAAATTAGATGGGTTCACTTCGATCGGACTGACATCTTGAGTAACGTTTTAAATATCTGTATGTGCTTAAATCAGGGTATGCAAAAACTCGTATATGCCCATATATATAATTACAATAAAGCCGACGACGATTATAACCTAATAACAAAAGGAAATTCCAACCAAAGCTCGCAATCTGCTGTTTATATGTAATCTACAAAACTTGCGATAAGACCATCGTCAGTATTTAAAACTTTATTCCACTATATATGCCCTACAGATGAATAATAATGTATGTACACGCTATTATGATAATGATGAAATCAAAGCCAAGCTTCGACGCGAAGAATTGTGCATGATTTGATGCACACCTCAAGTATTGCAAAATTTAAAAAAAAAATGTATCCAGAATTACCGGAAAAAAGATATCCTATATGTCAATACCGGCAATAAGCTACTTACTTACCAAGTTTGTAGTAAATCGATGCAAGATAACCTTGGCAAAAAGCTACCTACGTACCAAATTTCAAGTACATCGAACCATAAGTAAAATAGTTTCAAATAGATCGGTCCCTGCTGCACTTCCCGGAAAAAAGTATTCTGCATGTTAAACCTGGCAAAAACCTACCCACGTACCAAATTTCAAGAAAATCGAACCATAAATACGATTTTTTTCGAATAGATCGGTCCCTGGTCCACTTCCCGGAAAAAAGGTATCCTATGTGTTAACTTAAGCAAAAAGCCACCCACGTATATGTTAATAAAGGCGATAAGCTAGTTACGTACCAAATTTGTAGTAAATCGAATCATAAATACGACTTTTTCGAATAGATCGGCCCTGGTCCCCTTCCCGGAGAAAAAGTATTATTCTGCATGTTAACCTTGGCAAAAAGCTCGCCACGTACCAAATATCAAGTAAATCAAACCATAAATAAGATTTTTTCGAATAGATCGATTACTGGCCCACTTCCTGGAAAAAAGTATCCTATAGTATGACCAATGTAATAAGCTACATACGTACAAAATTTCAAGCAAATCGGATAGTCAGTTTCTGAGTTTATCGTGGACAACAACGTGCCACGAGAATTATATATACATAATACGTACTACATAGATGATGAACATTTTTTTAAATGAAAAAAAAATCCGCAACATCCTCCACAAAAAAAAAAATCAACGGCAATTTTTAACGACTTCAGACTGCACTTTCTTAAACTACAATAGAATGGGCTACGGAACTGCATACCCGATAATTTTCTAAATATTCTGCTTAAAAATTTGGGAATTTTGATGACAATTTTTTGAAGTTTGATTATTTTTTATTTTGCAATTTTCGCAAACTTTGAAACTTCTATTATTGTGGTTCCTGTTACAGATTGAACTATATTTTAAATGACAATTATGGAAAAAAATAATCATAATTTGTAAACAATATCATTTGAATTTCGTTTCTAATTAGTTGAACGCAGGTGTACTTTGCTACCAAACCTACTTATGCGTTTGTCAGCGTATGCATCTAGTTTAGCAGTGGCATGCTGTTGGTCGGTTAGCCATCGCTACTATACAAATTCATAAATTGTTAACGAGCTGTCATAGCTGATGGTCGCCATCCAACCTCGTCGGTAGCCTTTGCGTCATTTGCCAGCAAAGTTGCGGCCGCTTTGCATCGTTAAGTTCCTCCTTCCGGTCTGTAGAGATGTGATACGATATCCATTGCGGCTATTTGCGTTCGAACATCGCGATTTTATATGAATTTACACGTTGCTTAATCTGTTTGCTTCGATGTAAAAGGCCACGGATTTTGCTATCTTCTGTGTAAAGATAGAAACTTTGAAATTTTTACTTAAAGACTAAAGAGTTTTGTAACAGCTAGAGAGATATTAATTTACATATATATAACAATTTCGTTTTTATAGATAATAGTGGATAATATAATATTTTGTTATCGATAACCATAATTATACATACTACGATAAAGAAGCAGAGACTGGTAAAGTATTGATACCAAAAACAACTATGCTGTAAACGATACTCAAGATTTTGTAGACCTCAATGACGCATTATTTACCTTTATCAATTACGATATCTAACAACGATAATATAAAATATGACAATATCAATAAAAACAACACTAGGGCTACCGATAGCTTTACCGTAGCCAACAACTTAACCGATAAACGATATTTTTCGATTAGAATGCGTTACAAATAGAATGCGCTTATTTTACTTTCTAAATTTTCTTTTCCCTAGGTCATTAAGTCGGTGATCTCTTTACTGCGTTACTATGGCTGGAAGAAATTCTCCATTTTGCATGACGAGCTGTGGACCACAGTAGCCGATTTGCTCAAAGAACAGGCCACCAAAAGGAATATGACAATAAATCACAAGGAATCGTTTCTAACAAATATGCCGAAATGTTGTGCGCTGGGATTGCCATGTTGTCGCACAAGTTTTTGGTATCAGGTGAGTGGAAAAGCAATTCGAGAATATACTTAGGGCGATGACGTCATAAGAAAAAAATAAAATGGTGTGAATTTCGGCTTCGCTTTGTTTGAGGTTAAACATTTTGTGATAAGTTAAGGAAAATCGAAACCCACAACCCCTTTGAAAAGGGTAATAATCTTGATAATGGTTATCGTTGATAATTCTGACAAGCAAAGTAACACCGATAGTTATATATTAAATTATTTTATAGAGAGTAAAAACACCCTCCGCTTTGTGTGACAACATCAAGGCGAACGTCACAAATCGGAGGAGAAGCTCGGCCAAACACTAACATATGTGTAAGCGCCAATCTATTATTATTATTAGAAACACTCATATTTCAAAATAGTTTTCTCTTATATAAAGTAATCGCATTTCTGGCTAGTATATTTCAGGATGAATGGATGAGGATTGAGCCAAGAGCTTGTGTGAGCAAATCCAATTTTTGGCAGCAAATGTTAGTTACGCGGTTTTGTACATTAAACGACGATATGTATTAATAAATAGTTGTTTCAACACGAGATCGGTATCGATAAATATTTTTCATAAATATTTCTTTAAGTGTCCACTATATAAACATATGTATATCGACAACAAAGTTGTTAGTATATCAATTGATGTATAGAAAATATCGATTTTCATTTACGATTTTGATATTGAAAGCACAGCCAATAAACATTTCGATAAAAAATCGATGGGTAGGACCCAAATTTTTAAAATATCGATAAAGATTTTAGATGATGTTTTTCGTAAATAATGCTTCAGTGATAGGTAGGTATGTACATCAGCACAATGGAGGAAGGCAGCCGCTTTAACCTAACCTAACTTAGGTAGGTACATATGTACATGTATGTAGTAGGGTGATTGGCGCGATTTTTGCAAACCGTTTCCACAGTTGTCTTTTGATATCTATAGGCGTTTTTTTTTGAAATCTAGATTTTTCAAATACCGAATAAACCGGACTTTTGTATCGAACAAACCATTAATTTCATACAAATCTTGACCTCTAAATAAAAGTTTGGAGTTTTTCGAAGTTTTCAAAGCTTTCTCCAGTTTAAGGGAAACCACTAAACAATTTTGAAACTATATCCCAGGTCATTTGAGGATGAAACGGATCATATTTGATTCCATTAAATGAATCTTTGGCGCTAAAACGTTTTCTACGTTTTTGGCCGAGCTTATCCTCCAATTCGTAGTCTACTTCTTGACGTTGTGAAACAATTGGAAAAAGTGAAAAAGCGTTTTTATAGCAGAAGTACACTCTGAGGTTTGCCATTGTTTGTCTGCTGAGGGGCGACCGCTTTTTTCATGTTTCAGGGACCAGAAATAGAATCATGGACCTCCCGAGTGGCAGTAGGCACCTCTAAACACTTGGCTACTGCGGCAAGACCACTACTCAAAACCGAAAAAGGTCAGAAAAGATGCACTAAACCAAATAGTATTAAAATTTAATTTTTCACTGATTTTCATTTGTTTTATGCAGAGAATCCACTTCTCTTTTAATTAACTTAAACTTTCTGTCTTCCAAAGGTTTATCATGTTCTCTATTATCTTAATTGGAGATATATAGTTCAGCAAAAGTGTTTATGTTTAAATATACTACTCATCCCTTCGAGTTATAATTGCCATACGATTGTTCTTGCGAAGAAGTTTAAAGACGTTTGTAAACCTGAACGGCAACAAGCAATTTCATTAATTAACTGCTTTCCTATTCACTTTTGGTGGGCCCTTTAAAACTTTCTACATAAATGGCTGGCAGTTAAAATTTTAAGCACCACAAAATTTTACTATCGCATCTTCAACTTTGTTCATTTTCATTAATTTTCCTCATTCTCATTTGCAGACTGTACAAAATACAATGAATCGCACCCGCATCTATGTATTCCTTGGTTCGGCGAGTTCTCTGGTCGATTTTATGCTTTCCATGGAAACGAGCAATTTGTTCCTTAAAGGTGAATACATGGTCATCTTTGTCGATATGATGCCCTATACACCAAAGTAAGTACTGTTGCACAGACGCAAGCACACACCCATACACATATGCATGTACACAAAGTCCGTGCTGTCCAAACACACATACACAGGCATACATTTGCAGCATTATTGAAAGTCACCTATTGTGTGCCTTACAAACGCACTGACACTGTGTAAGCCTTCAACCATTTCACTATTTAATTGCAATTCTTTATTTGCGTCTGTTGAGAGTAAATACATATACCGTTAATTGTGCCCTATTTGCAATCTTACCTTTATTTGTGTCTTTTTTCCTTTAATTTCATTGCGCCTCTGCCAACAAAACTCGCCTACAAAACGAAAAAAAAAATAAAATGGAAATGCAAATAACAAATGAAAAAACCACAAACAAAATCGAAATACTTCTTTTTAGAGAAGCCGAAAAGTATTTACGCAAACCGGACCATGTTGAGGCGATGAAAGTCTGCCACGAAACGGAGAGTTTCAAGCAGTTGGCGCGCAGTTTGCTAGTCGTGGCGTCCACGCCACCAACGGACAGTTATGAAAATTTCACGGCCAAAGTGCGGGAATACAATGCAAGGAAGCCGTTTGATTTTCTTGTGCCATCGTTATTTTACAATAATAAATATCTTAAGGTGAGTGTGGACTGAGCATATATGTATATGACATAAATTTAGGTGCATTTAAATAAGCATATCTAGATGTACCTATGTTTTTTTATTAAACAAAAATATATATATACATTTAAAGGTCGCTCACAGCGCGCAAAGTTTTTCATTATTTTATAGGGGTTTTCGCAGAAATGGTATAGAATTCTTGCAGATCAATATTTTTGGATCGGAAGGCTTGTTTTTCCGCCATATAAAATACATGAGCGCTTTGAGCGACCTCTAAATATGTTTTTGATTTCAAAATAAAAAACAGGGGTAACGTTTTTTCGATATAGAACAATCTGAGGGGGTAGAGCATTAAAATGGCGACATTGATTGCCTCTTCACATGCATTTTTTGGCCACCCTAAGATACATTCAAGTAGATACATGTGGTTAAAAGCATGGTACGATAATTACAGGTATTGTCTTCCCAGAGAGCGCATATTCCGATCTGCCTTATTTGGAAAATATCATTGTTGCCCACACTAAAACGTTTACTGCTAGGGAAAGGGGATATTTCCATACCCCATATACCATATATGTACAGGTATTTTTTTAAACAAACCATCTTGCGGAGAACTTATTTTATTTGCAAAAGCCGGAAAAAAATATTTGCTTGTACATAAATAAATTCAAAATTTGTATGGCTCACTTCATTTCAAAAGTTTTTTCTTTTGTTTTGAACATTTATAAAAATTAAATTGAGCGAAAACAAAAAGCAAAGCCAAATAAAAGTAAAAGAATCAACATTGAACTGCTTCAAAAGGAAAATAAGGGAGCACGAATTTCGATGTGGAGCAAAACTCTCTGGGAAGACAATACCTGTAATTATTGTACCATGGTTAAAAGCAAAATTCAATTTGAAGTTCAGAACACTAGGCGTACTTCGAAAAAAGGCCATTGCTGTCGGTCAATGGCGCGTTGGCGTTTTAAGAAAGTATACATATTCATGTACATACATGTCTATGTATGTATGCTTGTACATAATCAAATAAACTTTCAGGTCTTCCTTTAATTTTCGTTGTAATTGAGCGTCAATTATTTCAATAGCCGCCTTCCAAAGAATTCATGTATAATTGCAGTAGCTACGAGAGAATTCACTTTTAAGTACCAGAAACAAAAAAAAATGCGACAGCTATGCTAATTGGCCAAGTTTTAGCAATTGCATAGTGCGTAATTTGGGTGATTTAGAGCAGGCTTTCCCAAAGTGGCCTGGGGTGCCGCTAGTGGCAGCAGCTTCGCGTACGTGTATATGTTACTTATTCTTTGGAACCTCACAAGCACACTGTGAAAGAGCTAATCAACACGATTTTATTGGCAGACGAGAACGAACTTATAAAAAGTTTGAAAGTTTTGAATTTTTTAGTTTGCAACTTGAGGAAAGTACCGACGTAGTGGGACTTAATGTTCTTCTGTTAGTGAGTTACCCATTCGCTATGCAAATCGAAGAAGAACTTTTGATGAGCGAGGTACTTGAGACTTGCACCACCAACGACGAAAATTTTTACCGCTATCGACAAATGCATACAGAAAAATGTTTTGAAATGGAGAAAGTGTGCGGATATTTGCAGTGGTTGGAAAAACGAAAGGTGCGATGTCTAGGATGAAGCAAGAATCAGAGAAGGCCACGAGAAGTCACTGTACGATCCGTCGGTATTCCCTAGCGACTAGGCAGATGCCGCCACTAGATTTAAAACCCGTATTGGATGACGCTGCGAAGATAACAGAGGCCTGCGAAATTAAAATACATCTTTGGTTTTTTTCTAGCACGTCGAGATTTTATTTATTGGTGACATGTATATTTTTGAATCTCTAGCAATTTGCATGAAAATCCCATAAATAAATAAAGTAAATCAAAAAATCGTACATATGTAACTTCGATGTTAACGCTGAGAAAATTGATAATTTAAATGGAAAATGATTTTTTTTCCTGTCAATTTCCATATAATATTAAAAAAAAAATTAAAATCATTTTTCACTTAAATTGCTTTCGTGAAATTGGCTGTAAAAGTTATTTTCTTGGCGTTAACGCGCATTACCAGCGTTAACTTGGCAGGTTTAGAAAAAACCATTGTCGAATATTTTCCCATCATTGACTCTGAGGATATCTACAGCTGGATAACAAACCCGGTTTCATGTGACGCGAAAAGTAAACCTACTGAGATGACAAATTAAGCTTTTGAAAACCTTCTAGATAATCAGTGAAGACAGCACTTTGAATATTAAATACTACGAAGGGAGCCAAGAGAGTTCTGGATGCAAGTGTATGCAGAAAACACTACTGTTGGCAAGACTGCATTAATAATACTAGTGACTTTTACTTTTATACTTCTATGTGAGACTGCGTTTTCAACAAATGCTTACCTAAATAATTAATTTTTAAGCAAACAACAAAACCGACTTTAATTCCCATGATTCAATTATCGGATTTAAACCAAATTAGAATAGGACCACCTTTCATTTAAAAAAGAATTATAGTAATCGGTTAACGTGGTCCAAAGCTATGCGGTAGCATACATAAAAAAAATAGTAATAAAATATTCCGACGAATTGATAACCTTCTCCTTTTTGTGAAGTCGGTTAAAACAAATACACCAGCAAGCTTTCAGCGCCAAATGATTTCAGGGTAAAACTGTCATAGCTCCCAATAAACTTAAAGAAAATAATGAAATCATCGAAACACTTTCAGTCCTCATATTAAAGGTAAAGGAGCTTAAAGTTTGCATTGTGTTTTCTTGTTTTCTTAGACCTCTGAAGAGTAGGGGTGCCGCTGTGAAAAAAGTTTGGGAACCCCTAGTTTAGAGGAAGGAAAATCGAAGTTTGAAAAAAAAAGATCAGGTACGATATATGTGTGTGCGTATGGATGTCTGATGTAATAGCAAATTGGTCCCCAATTGTTTGAAGATAAGCTGGAAGAATGCTGAGCTTGTACAGACATGCCTGTTTAGTCGAACGATAATCGCCAATTTTCCGGCCGTTATAAATCAGTGCCGTCTCATTTCCTAACGCGATTACAGTCTTGGGTATACTTTTCGTTTTACACAATGTAAACTTAAGTAAAAACATAATTTTGCAATTTTAAACGCCATCCTTACACATCAATTGCGCTCCTTTAGATTAAAAAAAAAAAATGGGATTTCACTTTTTTCATTTAAGCATATAAATTGCGTGTCAGTGTGTGTCGATCGGATCTCTTCAGCAACTTCAATCGATCATCTGTATTTCAAGGTCCATAGTAGGAATTTGCACAAAATTGCACAATTAAAAAAAAAAAGTCGTTTCAAAGTCAACTTTTGGTAAAGAAATCGCACGTTTTGTGTATCTCATGTTGGGCTCGGGGTGGGAGCGAAGAATGCAGGTGCCATCAAATACCTGCTATGGGCGCTCGCATACGAAACATCGTAAGAGATATATAGCTTGCGTAGACCGTTTATCGCAGAAGATATACGATATAAAATACGAGGTATCGCATACTTGCTGTCGCATATCTGGGTTTAAGTTTAACTACAAATTTTTCATATTTCATTTTAATTTAGATGTTATTAAAATGTTAAAATATTAGTTATTATTTGCTCCATATGCAAGTGATCGGTATTTTCATCGCACACGCGCCATCATGTTCTGCACGACTGCATCATCGACTTTACGCGATGCGCACAACTACTTTGTTTTGCACTCTTCAATATTTTTCCCTGTTTCACCTGTTTTCTGCAAGATTTCTTTGACAATTGACCAATATTCCCCAATAGGACGTGGCTCTGGGCTATTGGGTGGATTGCAGTCGTGAGGTACAAAATTGATGTTATTTGCATTATACCACGGCAATGTGTCCTTGGCATAGTGGCAGGTTCCCACGTCCGCCTAGAACAGTGGCCTACTCCTTATCTGTTGATAAATGACAGAAGACGCCTTTTGAGGCACTCATCCCGATAAACTTGATCATTCATTGTCCCGGATGGGAAAAAATGGCTGCTCTTACGGCCACAGGATCAAATAGCTTGCCAAACCATGTGGTTTTTTGGAAATTTGGACTTCATTTTCAGCTTACAACTTTCAGGGGCATCTTCACGACTTGCACCAGTATAAAAATCTTGACCTGCAATATATTTGTAGTTGTATTTTTTAATTTAGAATTCATACAACTTCCGAATGCGGGATTTCGCTGTATCATTCTACTTTGCGCCTCGGTCTGGCGCTGTTTGAGCTGTAGAACATCTCAATGAAGCTTTCCGCTTTACCTTTTGTACGAAAAACTGCGATCTGCGTACGGATTTTGCAACATAACGCGACAAAATCTTCGGATTTCGCGAAAACGCACTGAGGACCTACCGAGCACTGTTTTTATCACTTTTACCATGCTAACCCCCGCTCCCTGGTTTTCTCGTAACTTCCAGGCCTTATTTGTACCGATTAAAACCCTGCAAACTGTCGAATAGTGCAAACTTTAATTTTTTAGCAATTTTACGTGTACTTAAGGCCGGAACATTTATAAATGCAAAATGGTTTGTCTCGTTTCTAACTCGGTTGCCATTTTTAACTCAACTAGGAATCAAATTCAAATGAAATTTCTTCTACGTCCAACTAAGGTCATGTGGTCAGCTTATGGTATTTGAATTTCAAAATATTGAATTCGTTTTGGGTAAGTTATAAGCTTCCCAAAGTGTCGCAGTTTTGGTGTCTTCACCCTTTACTACGTGTTTGGAAATTTTTCTTGTGGACTTCGCCGAAAGCAATTTTCTGGCATGTCGGCTGGTGGAGGCTGTAAGATGCCGCCCTCGACGCTCAACTTCTCTTGACATATTATTAATCGGTGTTCAATTTGCGGTTTTACTAGCTCCCAAGCAATCATTTCAAAGTTAACAAAAAAAATTAAGCTTATCTTCATCTTTTTCATCCATAGAACTTTTGTCTATGTTCCAAATGTATCTTTTTTGCATCAGACATTTCAATTTCCATGTAAAACAACATATAATTCTCTATAGTGAACTATTTGTTGCACATAGTGAACAGCTTTAATATTGCTTATAAAACAAAGTTAAATTCTGAGATATGCGAAAATAGCCAAATACAAAACAAAAAGTAAATGTTAATTTATGGAAACACTGAAATGTATAGACCCGAAATCGTTTAAATCTGCACTACAAAAGAGTCATAAAATTCAAAGCAAATTTAAAATGAAAAAAAAATTTAAATTTTTTATATGGAATTAAGATTTGTTTTTTTGGAATTATAAAACTTATCTCAGTGTTCAAACAGACAAGCTTCCAAATTGTGCACTTGGCAAACAATTTTACCTAATTAGGTGCGTGGATTACAATTGTAGTGGTAAATGTGGGCCTAGCCCCTCAATTTTATACTAAGTGAGTAGATACTTTTGTATATCATCGACAGCTACTCAAGCTGGCACTGTCATCCTCAACCAAAGTTTTAATTGGTCCCTCCTAAAAGATGTGTGGATTATATATGTAGTCCACGCGCCTAACGGAGGGTTAAAACACTATATTTAATGCAAAAGTTGGAAACTGCCGGAAAAAAGGTGCGAAGATATTAGAAATCTAGGCGGACTATTTTTTTTTTTGTGAACATATTTATTACTATGTATTTATTTCTTACTATGCCGCAAATTTTAACGAAATCGGTCCATAAATACGGGCTTTCAAAATATTTCGACCCCGGTGGCACATCACCGTTAAATTTTTGGCAAAAATATTCCTGCATATGCAACCCATATACTTTCAAAAAAATAAACCAGATTCGACCATAAATAACATACATAGATATATAACTTTTAATTTTTAATAACTAAAAAGGAAAATAATTTCTATAGTCAAAATTGTGGGCGCTATGATTATCCTTCCCCTAAATCGGCGAAATTACGCACTGTGCGGCGCACGCCTTTGTCAAACAACAAACAAATAAACTGTGAATGTTAAAAGTCAGGTCAAGTAACTAGAGGTGCGCCATTGCCCAAGGAGCAATAACATTTGGCCTGAATGTTGATGGTTGTCTTTGTTGACAATGAAGGTGTCTACAAGTATGCTAACATGGAGTCAATTGTTTTCATTGCTGAGAGCAGTAAGTAAGAGAGAAGCAGGGAGGACACAATTAAAAACAATGGCATACTTGTCTGCTGTTTGTCGCACCATTTAGATATGCTTCATGCATATAGAAGAGGCAGATTTGTACAGCAATTATTGGTGTTTTGATGTGAAACATCTTTGCCTGCGGTGTGAAGTCGACTTGGAGTATTTTTTAAAGAGAATGTGGACAGCAATGCTAATACGTATGCGCCCTGTTGCAGGGTTTACAAACATGTAGAAACACGAGTACTAGGCCTATTTCCACGAAATGTCAAAACTTGCCCAAGTGATCTGTTCGATTGAAAATATGCCGCAAAATCAAGTTGACAGTTCACAAGGTGTTTTATTTATAGTAACGCACAGACAAAGATTGTAAAGTTTCCCAGCTATGTTAGTAATGTTATGAAAATACGATCTGCAGCAATATCACAGTATCAATCGCTCGAGAAATCCCTAAAGGTTTAAAAGCTAGTGATGTGCTGAATTGCCGGTACCCAATTGAATAATCTACAGAGTAAAAATGAATCAAGTGGGACCCTTAAAATTTAAAATAATTATCCATAGATTATTAAGTTTAGATAGGTATTATTGTAATATGATACTGTGAAAAATTGTTTGGCTCTAGTGCAAAACGTGGTCCAAAGTCATGCGGTAACATACATAAAATTTTTTATTTATTTATTTATTCGGTCTAAAAAGAACAAGCTTTTGTACAGACTAATTAAAGATAGAAAATAGTTCTAATTTAAATTTACTTGAGCTATTATTAAAATTAAGAACGCTACTATACCGATTTGCTAGTTGTATAGCTCTGGCCGCTGGTTCGTTCAGTGCATAATTAGTTCTATGTGTTACCTCAATAAGTAACCTGTTATGCCGCAGTTACCGCGGTGGAAAATAAAAAGCAAATAGATTTGATAGATCTGAGCAATTGATATTGGAATTAATTATGTTAGAGACAAACAAAAGGGAAATACATGTTCTTCTATCGCATAAAGCTTGGAGGCCGAGTAATTTACGCCTACTTTCATATGATGGGAGACCATCCGGCCAATGAAGCACACGAAGAGCGATTTTACTAAAAATTTTTTGAACTCTCTCAATTTTATATGAATTCACCTCATAAAATGGATTCCATATTAATGAGCAATATTCCAGGCGACTTCTCACCAAAGAAGTAAAAAGTGCTTTAAGCGTCATTGGATCTTTAAAGTCTCCAGAATTACGTCTTATAAAGCCGATTAATGCAAATGACTTCGAAACAATAAAGTCAATGTGATAAGAGAACGAAAGTTTCGAGTCAAAAATTACACCCAAGTCTTTGAACTCATATGCACGACTTAAAGATTCAGCATTTAAATTATAGTTAAAAAACGTAGTAGCTGTTCTTTTCGAATAAGAAACAACACAACATTTTTTCGTATTTAAAAACAGATTATTGACAGTACACCATCCAGCAAAAGAATCAAGGTCTGATTGTAAATTGATACAGTCAGAAGTATCACGGACTGTTAAAAATAGTTTTACGTCGTCTGCAAACATTAGGCATTTGGCAAAGTTGAAATAAAGCGGCAAATCATTGATAAATACAAGGAATAATAAGGGACCGCAATGTGTTCCTTGTGGAATTCCTGACCAAGCATCGATAAAAAGTGATGACTTAACATCTCCAATTGACACAAAGAGCTTCCTATTCGATAGGAAGGAAGAAAAAAAGTTTAGCAGATTTCCATTAATTCCGTACATCTCCAACTTACGCAAAAGAATTGAGTGATCGACTTTGTCAAATGCTTTCGAGAAGTCTGTGTAAATGACGTCTAGCTGCGCATGTGTCTCAAAGGCATGGACAATATTATTATTAAATTAGAAATATTCCTCCTCCTTTCTTGGAAGTCGGTTAAAAATTTAACCACTTAACGATTACCTGATAGCCAGACAGGTGTGAGCACCTACAATGTGTTTTCATCCCCTTTAAAATATAATAGGGGTATTCTCTGAGTCTTGCAAAACCCTTGCACGGTACACGGATTGCACGGTTTGCAAAGCTGTCCCATACGAAAACCGGTTTTAACCGTGCAATCCGTGCAATCTGTGCACCATGCAAGGGCTATGCAAGACTCAGAAAATACCCCTAATATATTTTTTGTGGCATATTTTTAGGCAAAATCGTTATGGCAGTAGTCACGAGCGCGAGTACGACCGAAAAGTATCGACAGTTATATAATAAAATTATGCTGAAATACTTACATATGTATTGATACATATGAATTTCATCGGAAATTATATGGAAGTCAATGATGTCAATAAATAAAACGAAACACAATTTTTATTTATTTGACGCCAGTGTCGATAAACAAGTTTATCGATATTATCTATAGATTTACCGAAAACATTATCGCTTGATATATCGTTAATTTATTATTTTATTTCCGCTTTTTTTTGCAGTTTGTTTCTATATATGCCGCTTACCTCTATGATTCCGTTAAGCTCTATGCCTGGGCATTGGATAAATTGCTGCGCCAGGAGGAGCGCATACTAACGGATGATGTGATATACGATGTAGCTAGTAATGGAACTAGAATAATTGAGACTATTATCAAAAATCGTACTTATAGAAGTAAGTATGAGCACCGAAAAATATTCCAAATCAAAATTTTTAACGGCTGTAATCATTAGCAGAGACTTTTGGTGACGCTTGAACACATGAAAATGAAAGCTAGACACAAATTTTATGTCCAGCTTTTTAAGGACCAACAGTTATGGCCTTATTTTAGAAGGACAAAAATTATGCCCAGTAAATTAACAAATATGGCCATATTTCTAGTTTTTAAATTGACCAATTTTTTAATGATCTAAAATTTATGTCCACTTTTTAAATGACAACAAATTTTTATTGGCCAAAAAATATGTCCAGTTTTTTCATAATCAAAAACGTATGGCTTTTAAAAAAAAACAAAAATTATGCCCAGTTTTTAAACCAGCAAAAATATATGTCCAGTGTTTAGATTTGAATGATAAAAATTTTACTTATGTCCAATTTTTATTAACCAAAAATAATGCCCAGTTTTTTCAATGATGAAGAACTTATGGCCGTCGAAATGGACCAAAAAATATACTCAGTCCTTTTAAGAAGCAAAAATGTATGCCTAGACACTGTGCTGTCTCCAAGCAAACCAGAAATTTTGTCCAGTTTTTAAATTACCAAATATTCTTGTACAGCTTTTGCTTCAAGCGTTTATTAATTGGTGATAATTATTTCATTGCGCTTTCATCTGTATACATATGTATGTATGTATGTGCATATAAGTATGTATGCACATTTATTAGATATTCATTAATTTATTTTAAATCAAAAAATGTACATACTTATAGCTTATATAAAATAAAATTTACACTTTTACTTGTCTTCCTTCTAATGTCAATCAGGTATCACTGGTGCCACGATTAAAATAGACCAGAATGGTGATTCCGAAGGAAATTTTTCAGTACTGGCATATAAGCCACACAAACACTATTTTAGTGATAATGTATCCTGTAATTCTCATATGGTGCCGGTGGCCTATTTTCAACAAGGCGAAGATATTCCAGTGAGTGAGTCGTCATTTTTTTCGTTTCTTTTATTACTAGTTTTCCGTTTTTAGTTTAAATAAAATATATGCAATTATGTACATAAATGCACTCTAAGCGCGTTCATTTGTCGCTTAAAATAATTTTTTCTTACTTTTTTGCTACACCACAGGAATACAAGCTTATCAATGGTTCTGTGCGCGTTGATTGGCCATCGGGCGGTGATCGTCCCTTTGATGAACCGATGTGTGGCTTCGCCAATGAGCTGTGCAAAAAGGACGATCGACATATCACATCTGTGGTAGCGGCTGGTGTACTTGGCTTACTGTTATTCTGCGCTGGTGTCATCACTATGAGCATTTATCGAAAATGGAAAATCGAGCTGGAAATCGAAGGTCTATTGTGGAAAATTGATATATCAGAAATAAAGGGGTACTCGGGGAATGATATCGTCTCATCGCCAAGCAAGGTGAGTGATGGTAGTGCAAAAAACAGTATTGAGGACATGAAGAAGCATGCTATTTACAGTTGTGTATGCTTTACAGGGCGATTCTCGTTAAGATAGTAAAAAGTATTTCGTAAGGCAAATGAAAGACAGATGGCAAGATAGTTCGAAAGATATTTGTTATTCTGGCACAATAGTCTTGGAAATAAAGCTCTCTCGTTGACCATTCGTGGTGAAAAGTTATTTGGTTATATTTTTTGTTTTTATATCATTTAGCTCGCGCCAGTCAAATTCAACGCTGTGGCCGAGTGAACAAACCACAGGTGTGCCATTCCAGAGATCTGAGTTCGAGTCTAGGTCAGCGATATTATTTATTTTGTATTTTTTACTTAAAATTTTTTTTAATTTTTTTTGATGTTATTGTTTTAATAGGAAAAATATACACTCTCTTAAATTTCATTTGGGTTTTAGCAACTATTTTATTTTATTCTTTTATTTTATTTTTCTATTAATTTCCAAAAAGAATATTTTTTAATTTCATCTAATTTATTTTGTTCTTTTTTAAATATTATTATTCTTTTTTTAGTTTTACTTTCTTTTAATTTTTAGAGTTTATTGTTAAAAATTGTTTTTTTCTATTACAATTAAATTTTTAGAAACTTATTAATTTTTTTGTTGTTTATTATTTAATTTAATTTTTAGGATCTTATTTTACTTTCTTGTCTTTTTTAATTAAATTTTCTTTTAATTTTTAGATTTAGTTTTAAAAATAAAAATACATTTTATGTTTTTTTACTTTTAAGTTTTGTTTTCATCTCTTTTTATTTATTTAATTTTTATTAAATTTTTGATTTAATAGTTTTCAAAAGCGTTTTTTTAATTTCATTTAATTTCTAAAAATATTTTTATATAAATCTGCTTCGTTTCCATTTAATTTTTTATTTGCTTTTCTTCGTTTTTCTTGCTGTGAAAGCTAAAATATACAAATATTTAATTTAGTTTAATTTAAAAAAAAACTTATTGCTTAAAGGCCAATAGCATAACGCTAAGATCTTTCAATTAGTCTTTCGAAAGACCGTAAAGAGCTTTCAAGATAGTTTTCAGAATTGGTAATCATCTTACGAAAGACTGATGAGTTAAAAGACAGTTGCCAGAATTGTCCTGTAAGAGTTTTGTATGGTACACGCTGGCGTATGTGCAACCTTTAGTTTATTTTCGCTCCTACATATCGCCGGTACTTTGGCAAAACCTAGTATCGCAGACATCACTACTACTTCGTATCTCGTAAAATTGATTTAAAATAGGCTGGGAGATGCTACAATTCATTGTACATATATTATTCTTAATTAACTAAAAAGTATTTAATCTTTAATATTCAGTAAAAAAAAGTAATTAAAAATGATTTTCTGTTATTAATAGAGATTCTATTTTGTTAAAGATATGAGGTTTTGAAAAAGTTCCGTCGATATGTACATATGTACGTATGTATGTATTTTGTTACATCATTATTTGAGTAGGCCAGCTAAATATATTTCTCTCAACACATGCTTTGGTAACTATAACGAAATAACGTAACCATAACCAAATCATGTGTTGAGAGCAAAATATTTAGTTGACATAACTAAACTCTTTTCTCAGTGTAAGTGATTTGATGTGCCTAGAATGAATCTCCTGTAATTTTAAATTGGTTCATGAAATAATTTTTGAACAATGTATGTTGCTCGCAGGCTATGAATAAGCTTTTACCGTAGACTCTACAAAGCTACTGGAAAGGATGTTGGGTGAGAAAACCGTCTAAATTGGTCTCATATCCTGGCCATTCTACTTAAAGTTCTTCATTTAGAGGAAAACCGATTAAAATATGCCGTTCATTATTACATTTTAAAGCTTTTGCCATCTCAATCGAACAAATTAATACATATTGAAGTGAGGCGTATGGCTGCAAAAGTAGCTAACTCCAAAACCGAATATTCTTACAGGAGAGGATATTCTGCTGTACTGAAAATAAATTAGTATTTAATTTTTTTCGTATACCGTTAACTGAAATTTTGGATTTTTGGATGAATTCATACTCATATTGCACGACTTAATACATTTTTAACCGGCTTAAAAAATTAGAAGGTACATATTTTTTATGTATGTTACCGGACAACTTTACACCACGTCAACTGCTTTCGACAATTTTTATCGGAAAGGTGGTACCTCAAGGGTAGTCCCATACTAATTTGGCTTAGTTTCAGTCTTTGCATCGGTGCTCCTAAATTTATATATGTTAAAAAAAACGGACCCAATATCTTTTTTTTTTGGTAAAAATGCTGTAAAAACAGATTCGCAGCTCTACGCCTTAAGTAATCGTTACATAAACTTACGTAGCAATACAGCTTTTATTGTAGTTCAATTAAATTTAAATTAATCCGTTGCGACAACAGCCACTCTTTGCGATTTCTCTCATTTCTTTGTTCTACTGTTGTCCTAACCAATAAATATTTACGCATCATGGCCGATGCCATTGTCAACAGTTTGTCGATTGGGTCGTGGTAAATGGAAATTTTTTATATCTTCTGCTTGAATACGCTCACAGCTTCATTGCGATTCGGCCTCTCTAGGAACGTGACAATTTTGTTGCACCGTTGCTAGAGGCGATGCACCTACATACAAATCTATGTACATATGTGTATGCGTAAAAAAACATACATATTTATGTATGTGTGACTATGTAAATTTGTTTACACGCGTACATGCACCAAGAGGCACTTATGTAAATTGCGCACAGCAATTTCGGCTTTCTGCAGTGTGGCAGCGTCCAACAGCCTAGGCCTGCAGCAAAGAGATCTGTTTACTCGGCAGCTAACCAAAAGAAAAAGAAAATAATGAAAATTGCATTCACATGAAGAACGAATCTGTGTGTAAATTCAACACGTTGTGGGCGTCATTGCCGTAATCCTTCCAACCTAACCCCTTTCTCACAGGTTCGAGAATTGCGTTTGGTGATTGCAGGCTGTTGCGAACGTCCACAAGAACGAAAAGTTCAAAATGTTTGCTGATCGGACATTTTTTTGTAAAGAATTTAACCTAAACTATCAGAAGTTGGAGTTTCTTTAGCAATTGTGATACATTTTAGTTAACAAAAATGAATTAGCGCGGGTAAATTTGTTTGGCTATGTGCGTACAGCATAGGAGGACTCTACGTGCAATTCTAAGTAAATTTACCGAAGAAACCATCGGTCTAAAATAAATTCGAAGTTGGCAAAATTACGAAAATAGGTTTCGAAGAAAATGTGAAAATTTTCACTGTTGCGCCCTCTGGTGGAAATTGAAAAAAAGTGCAGAAATGGATTCCTCATATCAAAAAACCCCTTATAGCATATTTGCATACAAAATTTAAGCACATCTTTACGACTCTACAGCAAAATGCAATTTGCAATTTGGCAAACTGCAAATTGATTTTAGAGCCATGGTTCCTTCGGTAAATTTGCTTAGAATTATTAAAATATATAAAATTTATTGTACGAAAAAACTGTGTACGTTTGAGCGAAAGTGCGAAAATGTGAAATAGTCGACAGTTTTTTACAATAAACATATGGTTTCGCACTTTTAGTTTCGCACAAACGCACAGCTGGAACCCTGACTGAAATGCAAAGGCGAAAAAACTGTGCTATGCTGTTCTGTTGGTACATCGCTTCGGCAGTTAAAACGACAGCACAAACGAAGTGCAACGAATATTTGAGACCGCGCTGCGGCTGAACTATTTGAAATTTCGCAGCCAAAGCAAAAACCATGTTCACGCTTCACGCATCAAAGAGTGAACTCTTGTTATATTTTAAGATTTTCGCCAAAATATTTCCGAAAAATATTAAGATATACATGAGAAAATCTCACTGTTACATTTTTCGACAAAAACGTGTTTTTGGTCGAAAATGGTGGCGCAAGACTCTATCGCGAAATTTAAAATGAAAACTTAAAGAATATATATTTACTAAAAAAAGTCAAAATAAAAACTTGTTTTCATATACATACACGTAGTTGTGTATGTAACGTATACGCCCGGTAGCACCATACACAGTCAGCTAACGTGTTAACTCGCACGTCTTAACTTAAAAGTCGTATTAATAAAAACTAATTAAATATTGGCGTAGAATATTTTTCTAAAGTATTCTTCACGAATATGTATACACATATCGACCCCTTTGCGCAAAATTATCGTATGTTACATTTTTACGAAATTCACTTTTAGATGCAACTTTGTTTTACAACCCATAACGCATCACCTGTTCAAATATACTCTCACAATTTGTTTGAAGAACGTCCTATCTCAGAATTCGATTAAAAAACGCCCTATCCGAGATAGGTCGATCTTCTACTCAGCAGTCGATATGTGCTAAGAAATTAGAATGTTGAGAAGTTTCTACAAAAAAAAAGTCTTGCGTTTAATTATATTTCTCAATTATATCAGCAAATCTAAACTTAGGTATTGATGGTGCTAGCCAAAGCAGAGAAAACTACAGAAAACACTTTGCTGTAAAATTTTGTTTGTGTAACATGCAATAATTTTGCGTAAAGGTGTCGATATAATAATTTCTTCATGTATATAACAAATTCAGAATGAATTTCGAGTGTGCCAATAAAAACTGTAAAATTGGAATTTTCGTTTCGCAAATCATCGTCATCTTATAACCAATGTAATTGTTTTCATTTGGTGGCACACTAATTTTATTATTCTAGTTTGGTTAGTTTTGGCAAGAAAATTTTCACCGTTCAATGTAGACTTTTTGAAATATCTTAAACTTTTAAAATTGTAAAAATTGTTAAATATCCAAAAATTACAAGATAGCTGCGACAGATATTCTGCATAGTGGCATTTTTTTTTTTTAATTTGGTGGCACACTCTTAAAACCGATATGCAACTTTTATTGCCCCTTACATGAACATTCTATTTGAAACTTCCCAACGTTATAAAAAGAAGTTAAAATTGTTCAAATACTTGATTTATTCTGTATTGTGTTTGTTTCTGGAAATCCATAGATTGAAATAAATGCAAAAAGAATGGTTTAGCCGAGAGAAGGGAGCAACACTGAAAACCGCAACTGGTGAGATTTGGTCACATGCGTGATTTGGTCCGATTTGATAATAACTCCAAAAATCGCATTATTTTGATTTCGTTGATAATATGTTCATATATTTTTATGCAAACCTTTTGACTTTAAACTCTTCTATCATCTGAGATGATTTTTTGGGAAATTCTTTTTTAAAAACTAAATTTAGTTATAAAAAAAATTGACTTGTGGAGATGCCTAACGAATTTAACATGGCAATGTCATTGAAGCGTACCGAGAGGGTACGCGTGTTTTGTCCTCTCGCTAGCGATTACCTGGTGCACAAGTGACGATTACTAATCGTTAGCGAAACTTTTTGCTCGGAAGTGTTAAAATTTTCTTGAGTACACAGTTTTTTAGGCCCTGAAATTTTAGTCTAATAATGTGCAAATTTCAAGTGGCTACGAATTACCGTTAATTTTTTAGAATTTTTTTTTGTCTCATTGGCTTCCATATAATGAATAAACTCAATTTATAAAAAATTCTAAAAAATCAACTGTATCTTTGAGCCACTTGAAACTTGCACATTATCAGACTAAAATTGATTGGGATATAAAACTGTGTATTCAGGAAAAATTCTAACACTTCCGAGAAAAAAGTTTGAAATATAGGTGAAAATTTGTTGCACTTTTTTGTAGTTTTCTACAAATTTTTAAACTTAGATTTATATGGGTTTTGTTAGAGAAAGAACTATATTTTAATTGAAAATTCTTAAAAATAAATAAATAAACATAAATGGCACACAATATCACTTTGAAATGGCGTGCTATAGATATGACCGATACTGTACGTATGTATTATACAACAATACAAATAAATCGTTAGTTATACCGCTACAATCGCTTAATCATATAAAAACATAGCGATGAATATACCGATACCGATAGCGATAATCGATAATTTTTTATCAATAACGAGTAAATAATTCAAGTAAACAAATTTTGCTTAAAAACAACCTTTCTTACTCGAAACTCTGATGAGTTGTAACCACACTCACATTAGTTTTCTTGTAACTCGTCTATATATGTACGTATGCACCTTTTTCCCCTATCCATATTTGTAGTTGCTTATCTCAGTCAAATGATTCCTCATCGCTCACCACATAAAAATATGATGAAGACTTTCTTCTTCATTGCTCGCTTAATTGCACAGACCCCATTAGCATCCACTTGATGCAACCTTTGTCACCGCATCACTAACTCCTCTTGATTATCCTTTCTGATCTCGTTAACATGTCACTGCTGCTGCCATCAACCAACCAACCATCCAACCTACTGATGAACACGAAACAAAAACACGCCGCTCGACAACAACCCACAACCGTCAATCTGCAATCATTCGATGTCGCTCTAATGACCGCCCTAACGACAACCGCAATGTCGTCAATCGCCCTTCAATGCTGGCTCATTTGGCACGACCTCAACTCAATATGACGCGCTCGAATGCCTATAAATGGTGTGCATTGTTCACAATGTCAACAACAAAAATACATTTAACCGCAAAAAAAAACAAAAACAACGCGCCGGCAAACAGTTGAGCTTAGTGAGTGCCCAATCGTTTGGTTCACGTTGCTCAAATCAAGTATTCACTTCGACGGCACGCTTACGCGGCGCTGTTGTACGCATCAAAGAGTTGAAGTTCCCACGGAAGCGGGACATCTCGCGCGAAATAATGAAAGAAATGCGTTTGCTGCGCGAACTACGCCATGATAATATAAATAGCTTTATTGGGGCTTGTGTGGAGCCGACACGTATACTACTAGTCACCGATTACTGTGCCAAGGGCAGTCTCTATGATATAATCGAGAATGAGGACATCAAGTTGGATGATTTGTTTATAGCTTCGCTGATACACGATTTAATTAAGGTGAGTATTGCATAGTGTACGTAACGGAGATTTTCGTATATTAATACTTCTATATTTTAGGGTATGATATATATACACGATTCGCAGCTGATGTACCATGGAAATCTGAAATCATCGAATTGTGTGGTGACCTCTCGATGGATGTTGCAAGTGGCCGATTTCGGTTTGCACGAGTTGCGAAATTGTGCGGAGAGCGAGTCGATAGGAGAGCATCAGCACTATAGAAGTAAGTGTTGGAGGTTTAAGTCATTAAACGCTGGGGATTTTGAGCGCTTAAAGGTGAAAAAATCGGCAAAATGTGCGGTTCTCAAAATAAACTTAGGAAAATATTGAGGTTTTCAAAAGTCTCGCAAACGAGTCTGTACGGCAATATAAAAATTTTTTGGTTATATAGACTTAAGCAGTACGCTTTCTTTACCACAAGGGTGGAACTCAGAGTATTACAAACCTTTTAGACTTAGCATAAGTATCCTGCTGCTTCTCAACAGGCTGATAAATATTAGAGACGGTCAAACTATCTGGTGAACTTAAGTTTTCGATATTTGAAGACTTACTTGGAAGACCGTAATGCTTCTACTTTTGCGTAGACGTAATCAGAACATCAGAAACTTCTCGACAAATTTTTTGCTATCTTAAATCTTTATTCTTTCGTACTATCCTTATACCTATTAAACTCATTCTTTTTTCTCAAAATTACCAGATCAATTTTGGAAAGCACCCGAATTGCTGCGCAATTCACACATCTATGGCACGCAAAAAGGCGATGTTTATGCCTTCGCCATAATTATGTACGAAATAGTTAGTCGAAAAGGTCCATTCGGGCAGGTAGCCTACGAACCAAAGGAAATTGTCGATCGCGTGAAGGAGCTGCCATTAGCTGGCAGTATACCCTTTCGTCCCGAGTTGGAATGCATACGCGAACACGAATTGTGCCCTGATTATGTGCTGGACTGTATAAAAGATTGCTGGAGTGAGGATCCGGAGATAAGACCTGATTTTCCAACTATACGGTAAGTACGTCGATAAATAGTGTTCTTGGGAAAGCTCAGCAATTTTCATTTTTACTTTTTTTTATACATACCTCTTATGCTCCTCCATTTTGTGTAGCAATCGTTTAAAGAAGATGCGTGGGGGCAAGACGAAAAATATTATGGATCAAATGATGGAAATGATGGAGAAGTATGCCAACAACTTGGAGGATATTGTGACTGAACGCACACGTATGTTGTGCGAGGAGAAGCGCAAAACAGAAGATTTATTGCATCGCATGTTGCCGCGCACTGTGGCGGAGAAGCTGACAATGGGGCAAGGGGTCGAACCAGTGTCCTACGATTTGGTAGGCGCATTTAATATGATTCAACGCAAGGGACTCCAGTTTTTATATAGTTTTTTGTTTTCGTTTTTTTTCGCAGGTCACGATCTACTTCAGCGACATTGTGGGCTTTACTGCAATGTCAGCGGAGAGTACTCCACTGCAAGTGGTGAATTTCTTGAACGATCTCTATACGGTTTTCGATCGCATCATACGCGGCTATGATGTGTACAAGGTGGAGACCATTGGCGATGCCTACATGGTGGTAAGTTTTATCTGTGATTTTCTACTTCATGCAAAATACCCGAATTTTCAAGCGCGTTCACCTAATATGATCATTATCTAATTTCCCTTAAAGGTCTCAGGTCTGCCAATCAAGAACGGCGATCGACATGCAGGTGAAATCGCTTCCATGGCACTGGAGCTGCTGCATGCGGTCAAACAGCATCGCATAGCACACCGTCCCAATGAGACGCTCAAGCTTCGCATTGGCATTCACACGGGGCCGGTGGTGGCCGGCGTTGTGGGTTTGACAATGCCACGCTACTGCCTCTTCGGCGACACAGTAAACACCGCCTCACGCATGGAGTCCAACGGCGAAGCGTTGAAGATACACATATCAGGAAAGTGCAAGGAGGCACTCGACAAGCTTGACGGCTATGTGACCGAAAGACGCGGGCTGGTGGCGATGAAGGGAAAGGGTGAGGTGGTCACATACTGGCTGACAGGCGCCACAGAGAAGGCCATACAAAAGAAACCAGTCGACATGACTGACATGCCGCCGCCTCTATTCTGCCGACCGCGCAAGAGCCCGAAGCTGAATAGCGATTCGCGGCAACCGAGCATCGTAGGCATGCACTACTATGGCGCTGGCTCGCGGCGCACATCGATGGTGCCACGCACCGATATCGAGTCCAATTATAGTTTGCAAGGTTCCACATATCATGTAGCACGCGATTCACCTTACCTGTCGTCGCGTCGTAACGATCGGCCGTCGCTGAATGGCATTGGCGGCAACAGCATACCGGAGCGAATGAGCTACTATGGCGGCTACGGGGGTGCGGGCGCCAGTGGCGACCGGAGTGGGAGTGTCGGCGAAACTTGCACGCTGCTCGAGTCGGCGCACGGTTCACGCAACACGCTGGAGCATTCCGAAAACGAAACGAACTGTGATAATGAGTGCGTAAATGGGTATGGTGCGGATGGTGATGGTGATAATTATAGCGGTGGTGTTGGTGGCGGCAGTGGCGTGATAGATGGCAGTGGTAGCGGCAGTTGTGGCATTGGCGTAGTGAGCATCATTGGTGGTGCGCTGCCGGTAAGCGCACATCGTGCGGCACACTCCGCTGCCAGCTCACCGACCCACAAACCGCTTGCGTTAGTGCGTCCGCATCGCCGCATTATAAGCGAAAAGCTAGCCTCCTCACCCTCCGTACAAGAGTTCAGTGATATAAGTCGGCATCCGACCGTAGCGCAAACTATTTTGCTGCGCGAGACACGCTCCCTCGACCCCATGCCAATGCAGTTGCGTAAGAGAAACGAGCTCGTCAAACTGCCGCCGTCCAAACTGTGTAAGAACAACTCGCGCTCCTTGGATGCCGTGGCGGCGCTCGGTGCGAGAGAGAGCAAAAACAACGATTCAGAAAACGCGAATATAAATGGTATAGAGTGTGATGAAGTCGTCGATGGTGTGGCCCCATTACACGAAGCTACTGCGAACGCTGACACAAACAATATGGACGGCGAGGACTACGACGACGATGTCGGCCTGCTGATGCGTGATAATGGCGGCTTGCGCCGTCGCGGGCACAGTGGTAACCTACAACCGACTGTGGTGCCCGTCGCATCCACGCTGCTAAATCGTCGACGCAGTGGTGGGCACGTTATATCCGGCGGCAGCCTTAGTGTCGGTGTTGGAGTCACTGGCGGCATGCTGCTGCCCTACAAGCACCTCAACAACAACTGCAATGGTGGCATGACCATAGAAGAAGACGCGCAATCACCGTTGCTTCAACGACAGACCTCACTCACCAGTCCGCCCGATGAAATTCTAGCGCTTACGAAACGTTGGCGTTCACTGGAGACACTTGAAAATGTCAGAATCGGTGATGCAATGCTGGTGAACTCTAATAGTGGTCGTGGTACGCACATCTGCGGGTACGGTGCGCACAACAGCGTCAGCTACGCGCCCGACATTGATGGGAGTCGTGCATCCGGTTCAGCGGCGACATGTGCAACGACAGCGACACGCAGCGGTAATACATTCACTACGTGGATTTGGCGCATCATACAGGGCAACAGTAAGCGGGCGAGCGAATCGTCGTTGCGGCGCGTGGTGCCAAGTGGTGTTCACGCGCCGCATGTGTTCACCGATATGCCCGCAGCAACGGCGGCGACGACGGCGCGTACGCGTGATCGAGAGAGCATTGTGTAGAGAGTTGCGATGGTGGGGAGAAAATAGATTTTGATTTGTATTGTAATAGTTTGTGCGGCGTGTTGAAGAGAAAAGTTTCAGGAGAGGGTTAAAAAATGGAAATTATGAGTTATTTTAGTTAGCTAAAAAGAAATTGCATTGCGCCTTTTAGGTCGAAGTGGTCGTCAGAAATTATATTTTTTGTTTTAGTTATATCTGCTTCATAACCATGCATAAAATGAGCTGCAGCTTCTGTCAGTAAATATTGTTTTTTCGTAATGCACTGACCCCAGTCGGTGATTCTGAGATATAGCTGCTCATTAAACAGTTTCCTTTCAAGTGAAATTAAAACCTTTCTAAAATTATTTGCTGAATACTATTAGGCACTTCATTTGACGAAAAAATATTTCTTAATAAAAGTGATCAACTAAGTAAAAAGCACCTGTATATGTTTATTAACTAGATTATGTACATATCTAGAAATATGTACATATGTAAAAACTCCTGGTTGAGAAGGTTTTTATAAAGCGAAATTTTTGAGCAACCCTCTCTGCGCTTAAATCCGCTTATAACGAATATCTTTAGACTCAATATCAAATTTTTTTTTTTAAATCCTCAAAAGAGGCCTTTGATCTCAAACAGAACACACGTAAAACATTTTTATAGCAATGCTTAAATACAAATTTTTTTCTATATACTTACACTTTCTTTGTATGTAATTATATACATATCATCTGTGCGCATATTTACATTTATTTATTTTGGAATTAATTCCCTCGCGGTGTAAATGAAGTTAATTATCCGTTTTTTCACAAAATCCCAATTTCTATAATAGTTGAAACTCTTCACACATATGAACGCGAGAAAATACGTAGATAAACTGCAGAACTAAAAATAAATAAAACGAGCCCTAACTGCCAAATTCAAAATTTTCTCTTTGATGCAGAAATGCATCTAGATGCTCTGGGAGTATTTCTGAATCAAAAAAAAATTTAAATTGCTAAACGTCGCTTATATCTTTTTGGCGGTTAGGGGTCCAAAATACACATAAATAAAAATAAAACTTTTATAAATTTATCTAGTCAGCAGACACCAGACTAGTTTTGGTTATTACTTTTTTTATGTAAAATAAAACTTAAAAAATATAAGGAAACACAAATGTAAACAACAACAAATGCGTTAACGCGCCACAAATGCTTTCTAATAGGTAAACGTGCAGTTAAATAAAATTTAGAAAAAGCGTTAGCAAGCAAATAAAATTAAGAAATATATATTTATGTATATTTTGTGAAAAAATATACTAAATGTTTATCAAAAAAAAAAAATATATATATATACATATATCTTTTTTGGGACAAAAGTCCGCTTATTGTAGTTGCAAAAATCATAAGACTTCTTCACCAAACAAAATACACCTTATTTAGTTTAATAAAAAAATTAAAACAAAAAATTCTATAAAACTAAATTAATGAAAAAATGTAAAAACTAAATGTAAATTATTTTAATAAGTTTGTATTTATATAAGCAAGTTCGTCAGTGTAAGTGTTGTATGTATGACTAGAAATAAAAATAGTAATAATTAATTATGTAAAAAATAGCGAAGTTGTGTGTGTGTTTTTTTTTAAGTTCCGATATGTTTGTTAATAATGTACGTGTATGCGTGCGTGCATTTGTGTATGTGTGTGTGCATTCGTAGAGCGTTAATTAAATATAAATACTATTAAAAAATAATTTAGTAGCTGAACAAATGTTTTGTAAATAAAAAATAAAATGGAAATAAAAGCAAAATAAACATACATATGTACATCACTAGCTTAGAGTGAAAAGTGGCCAAGTCTGGTTTTTATGAAAACGCCTATTTTATTGCAGCAAGCAAGATAAATCAAAAATGCGTCTTACCCAAAACGATTAAGGTACTCGTTTTATTTCTTCGAATTTATATTCAATGAAAGGCACAGAAAATTCGCTAAGACCAAATTCGTATGTAATGCGGATTCATATGGTGTTATGTCGTGTTCAAAGGTTTATACAAAATACTTGAAGAAAATGGTTATAAGGAGTTTTTTTTTGTATATCCTTTAAAATTTTTAAAAATGGACTTAGCAACTTTTTGATCTAAGCTAGCGATATGCTGTATTTAGTTTTATTGTAGTTACTTGTACAGAGAAATAATAATTGTTAGATTCTTAAAGCAAGCGTAAACATTATGCGTGTATATTTATGTATATAAAACTAGATTAATTAATTTTTATTTTTTTTTTAAACTTCGAAGAATCATACAAAAATTAGTATGAAAAAAATTTGTAATGAATTACTTTGCGCAGCCTTGCGTGTTACCCTGCCACGTAGAGCTGAGGCAAGCCGTAATTCACACACTCTCATTGGAAGCTAGTGGCGCATGTGCAGTAACCAAACGTAAAGGCATGCGACACTGGCAAGCAAAAATTAACGTACATAGATAAACTTTGAAAATGTGTTATTAGCAAGAACAAGCATACGAGAGGATTACTAAAAAAACAATTAAACTATCTTCACAAAAGGTGTTAGAATGATTCCAAAAAATATATTTCATTAGTACTATAGAAATGCTTTCCTAAGGCTATCTACATATTTAACTGCTTGAGCTTAAAAAAAATAAAATTATTAAAAAAATCAAAATTTTCAAATTCTTAAAAAAAAAAAACTGAACTGCTTGAGAGATCGTCATTCATACATACTCCATAGTTAAAATCAAAAATTTTCTATAACAAAAACCGATTTTCAAATTGTATACCAGATTTATAATAATTCAACAAATTTTCACACTGTTTTTAGCATTTTGGTTTATATGTATGTATATATAGTATGGATATATAGTTTATAGCACTTTGAATTTTAGTAAAATAAGGTGCAAGTACAGGACTTCGTTTATTTGGGAACCAGCATTAACGCCAATAATAATGTCAGCCTTGAAGTCCAACGGAGAATCACTCTTGCCAACAAGTGCTACTTTGGACTGAGTAGGCAATTGAGAAGTAAATTCCTCTCGACGTACCACCCTCTATAAGTAACTTATCATCATGCCCGAGCTGGTTTACGGCGCAGAAACATGAACAATGACAACATCCGATGAGGCGGCTCTTGGAGTATTCGAGAGAAAGATTTTACGGAAGTTTTACGGGCCTTTACGCATTGGCGACGGCAAGTACCGTAGACGATGGAACGTTGAGCTGTTTGAGTTTACAACGACATGGACATAGTGCAGCGAATTAGAATTCAGCAGCTCCGCTAGCTAGGTCATGTCGTTCGAATGGACAGAAACGCTCCAGCTCTGAAAGTATTCAACGCGGGTCGCGATTCTGGTAACAGAGGAAGAGGAAGGCCTCCTCTGCATTGGAAAGACCAGGTGGAGAAGGACTGGGCTTTACTTGGCATTTCCAATTGGCGTCAGTTGGCACAGAGAGAAAAAACTGGCGTGCTGTTTTGAACTCGGCCAAAATCGCTTAGGCGGTTACAGCGCTAATAAAGAAGAAGAAGAAGAAGAAGAAGAAGGTGCAAGTTGCAAGTTTCTAAAAAATCGTGTTGATTTTTGTGAATTCTTTAGCCGAGGGCGTTGCGCATTTTCTTCCTTATAAAAAAAAAATAGGCGACATACTTTGTACAAAACTGGCACAAAATGGCATGCTCAAAAATTCCATTTTTTTAACTTTGAATTTTTGATGAAACTTTTTTGAATTATTATAAATTTTGTATTAAGTTTGAAAATCGAATTTTTTGTATTTTTTTGTAGAATATGCTATATTTTTATAAAAAATTAATTAATATTAAATAAACAAAGGGAAAACTGTCAATAATGAGGATCAAAAGGGGGCGCTATTCAAGTGGAGTGCACTGTATATGTAACACTAGTTACATATACATATACATGTCTATACAAATATATATATTACATATGTATGTATGCCTATACATATATGTAAGTCACTTTACGCAATTTGTAAATGTTGTAAATTTTTTTTGTAAGTACGTATGTATGTATTTTATTTAAGTATTTATAGTAATAATTTACTACATATACATATATGTACATATGCAAATGATATGGAGTGACCCATACATAATTGTGCAGTATATTCCCTGCAAAAAATGGGACTAATCCGGGATGACTCCGGGAGCAATCGCAAAGGAGCATGCGACTAATACCACTTTTGATCTCTTTATATGGAATGAACTGTTCGCTTTTGTTCGAGCATGTCCTATGAAGAGACTAATTGTTCACCTTTATACCCGAATGGGTATAAAAAGCGACTAGTCACTTTTAAAAAATAAAAATAAAAATTTGCGCCAGCTGAGATTCGAACCGGGGTGCTCAGTTTTGTTAGGCGAACACTCTCTCTGTGTGCCAACGCCGCATGTGAAATTTCATTGACTAAGTGCGTACATATCATTAAATCGTTAATAGTACCCGTTAGAGATGAGTTGGGGACTAATTGATCTCCAATTATACCCATAAGGGATGCGTCGAGACTAATTGACCTCCATTAGTACCCGTATAAGACTAGTTGCGACTAATTAATGCCCAATTGTACCCGATTGAGAGTAATCTCGGAATACTCTCTATAGAGATTTGTCGCACATTTTTTTGCAGGGTTTTGTATGTATGTATGTAAGCATGTGATGTACATTATTGTTTTCTAGTTTTAATGAATAATAAAAAAGTGAAATATTCACCCCTATTGCGAGTGTCGACTAGTAGTAGATAAACCACTCTTACTCGATTATCGCTTTTCCATGGTATTGTGAATGTCGATTTCTCGTTTAATAAGCGTCTGTGAATAGTTTTTAACCGCCCATCCTTCTATAACTGTTTGTTTGTAGAAGGATGAACGACTATAAACTATTCTCACTCACTTATTGAACGGGAAAATGATTTTGAAAATACCACAGATAATCGAAAATAGACTTTAACACTACTCGTTTAACACTACTAATCGGCACTCGCAATAGGGGCGATTTAAAATAAATAAATAAATAAATAAATAAAAAGAAAACAAAAACCGAGAAATATAAAAGGTATAGCCAAAAGAGTGGCCAATTTTCGTAAATTGTTACAAATCAATTTAGGAAAACCATTAGAAAGCTATAAAATAAATGCATAAACAAATATCCACTGTTTAACTAGCATTTTAGTACATAGAACATTTAAAAATTATCCATACAGAATTATTGTACATGTACTGTCTGTTGTTGTAGTTCGTTAAGCGTTTTTTTGCACACTTCTGTGTGACGCATAATCAACAAATAAATATATATGTATATCAAAACATACAAACGTAACAACCTACAATTATTAAAATTTTGTTGTGTAAAATAATAGCGAAAAGAAAAAAAATATTCTTACATAATTGTATGTGAAACGCACAGAAGCAAATTAATTTAGTTACTATTGAATACATTTAATGAAAACATATATAGCATTGACACATTAAGTTAAACTTTTGGCTAATAAAATTAAACTCTGGGCAAATGGATTTAAACTTTCAGCGGATAGATTTAAACTTTGGGAAAATAAATTTAAACTTTGGGCAAATAAAATTAATCTTTTGGCAGATTAAATTAAATTACTTTTCAGTGTTTCAAACACTGTTTAGTACTATAGTAGGGTTTAATTGTTTTGGCCCAAGGTTTAAATTTATTTGCCCAAAGTTTAAATCTATCTGCTGAACGTTTAAATCCATTTGCCCAGAGTTTAATTTTATTTGGCAAAAGTTTAACTTAATGTGTCAATGCTATATACATATATGTATATATAATTATATTATATTAATTCATGTTGAAGGAGCAAAAAAACAAATCAAGATACATTGATTGCCATATTAAAAATAATTTAATTTAATTGAAAAATAAATACAAAACAAAAAAAGTAAAGAAATATGAGTTGAATAAAATGATAAAAATGAGCTGAGAGCTTCTGTTCAAAATT